CCCATGGTCTGAACATTTTGGATATCGTTCTAGTCTCGTATCCAAGGAGGGCATGTGCATCCTTCCCCCTTTAGTACATCTGATCACAACGGTATCGGATTCAACATCGCTGGTTTCCATCCAATCTCCGCACACTCAAATAAATACCGGTGCTTCTCTAGGTGCGATTATGGTTCAGTAATATCTGCGCTTTCCAAAATTGACTGGGTTGCATTAAACAGTGCTTCTTGTGACTCAAACATGTTTTATACCGAACTTCTAAACATATGCCACAGCCTAATAGATGAGCATGTTCCGCTTGTGAGCAGTAAAGAGAAAGCTGATAAATTCCCTAAACGAGTCTACTTCCTTCATTCTCAAATCAAACGTTTACATTCCCGCAGCTCCGAGAGCAATCGCAAGCTAGCTACTAGGCTAAAACGCGCATTCTGCGACATCAAGTTACGAGTGGAAAAGAGATTAGCACTGTGCAAAAATAGTATTCGGTTCTACAGCTATTGTAGGAAGAAACTAAAGCTTGCTGACAGAATACCGAATATGATCGGTCCCGATGGGATTGCTATTAAAGACGATGCTACCAAAGCCAACTTTTTTGCTGACTATTTTCAGTCAGTCTATAAAAAGTCTTGCACTTCTAGTCCCAATTTTACCACTACAACAACAGAAGTTTTGGATTGGGTGGACATATCCAGCGATGTCGTTTATAAGACGCTACGTAAACTTCCGAATAGAGTTTCTACCTCCCCTGACAACATCCCCTATATTTTTCTGAAGAATACTGCTCTTGCGATTTCAGCGCCTCTAACTATATTGTTCAATAGAGTTTTACTTCACGGCGATGTCCCAGAGTTGTGGAAGATCGGGCTAGTCAGACCAGTTCACAAAAAGGGTTGTAAGAAATCCGTTACTAATTACAGGCCCATATGCCTAACAAGCTCTATTAGTAAAGTTATGGAGCGTATTCTCTGCCGAAAAATCACTAGTTTGTGATGGAGAACAAGTTGCTTCGCGATAACCAGCACGGGTTTCTTAGGCGCAGATCCACTATCTCGGCTCTGATGTCTACGATCCCCATTTGGCAAAGAGAAGTCGATAAGGGGAATTATGTCTCAGTATGTTTTATAGATTTTGCCAAGGCCTTCGATTCCGTATCGGTTCCTCTGCTTGTCAAGAAGTTGGAAGCGTACGGTATCAAGGGCCGTCTTCTACAGTTTCTGAACTGCTTTCTCACTGGTAGAACCCAGTCCGTTCTTATTAACCAGTCTCAATCCTATGTATACCGAACGCCGAGTGGTGTGCCTCAAGGCACGTGCATTGGGCCGCTTATGTTCATTCTATATGTAAATGACCTCGTTGATATTATACCGTCGGGTACTTTCTGCAGTTTATACGCTGATGATTTGAAACTCTTTACTATAAACGATTGTCATAAGTTGCAGGATGCTCTAAGCTGTGTCGAGAGCTGGTCCATGCAGTGGGACTTAGACATTTCTGTCCAGAAAACTGCGATTATGGGTTTAGGTAGAACTCATCCAGATTTTCCATTTACTATAGGCGGAAGGCGACTGGTTCGAGTTAATCAAATACGTGATCTTGGCGTTGTTTACAGTGACACTCTAGATTTTAGTAGCTTCATACACGATCTGGCAGCTAGAGCAAGTTCAAGAGCCAACTTTATCCTCAGGGCCTTCAAAACGCGTGACCCTGCTCTGCTTTTTCGCTTGTTTAATCTTTATGTCAGGCCAATCCTAGAGTATTGTTCACCCATCTGGTCCCCGTACAAACAAACATTAATTGATGTGATTGAACGAGTACAAAAAAGTTTCACTTATCGATGCTATATGCGTAAAGGCATAACATCCTTGTCATATAGCCAGCGACTTCATAACCTCAGTGGTGAATTTTTGGGCTTATCACTGATGAAATTGACCTTAAATTAACAGATATTTTCGAGATGTCCTCGACTATTGGATTATCCAGAGGGCATCCCTATCGCTTGCGCCCTGATAGACCTAGAACTCGGGCTTACGAAGGTTCTTTTCCTGTGAGAGTGGTGCCCCTCTGGAATAGCCTGGATTGTGAATTTTTCAAATGGAGACGTTCTTGCACATTTCAGGTTCATCTAGCCAGCTACATGAAGCACCAATAGCGTATTTCGGAAATGAGCATTTTGCCATGCAGTTTTCGGATCTCTCAGTAATGTTTTTGTACAAGTGACGACAGCCCGATCCCCTAATTTGTAGCACACAGCCCCCTTTTCTCCATGTTGAATTTCATTTTTTGTTTTGTCCTTATCTACGATTTATCTTCTTTCCCGTCTGTTCCGGTCTGTAATTTTTTCCCTTGTCATTGGAACGCCTGGATTCAGCCATATTCTCGTGGAATTCTTTTTTTTCGTTTTCTTGACTTCTTCAATCTCTCTCTAGTTTGTAACTGTTTTTTGCTGAACCTATGTCTATACCCTCCACCCCCCTTTCCTCCCTGCCCCCCTCCCTTTCCCTGCTTCGCTTGGCCAATGGAGACGATTGGCGGACCTACTAAGTTGGTATCCGGGGCCATCCGCACAATGGCCTGCGATGTTGGCGGCGCATCGCCCTTTCCTCTCCAATCTTTGGCCGTCCCCTCACCACTCCCCCTACCCAATTTTTCTGTACCTTATTATATCTCCTTGCATCTCTATTGCAATTTTTTTAGCTCCACTCTTGTTATGTTAATTATTACTTTATTAGTTGCAATAGTAAATAAAAAATAAATTACCATGCAACCCGCTTGCTTGCTGAAGTACAAATAATTGTAGGTATTATGCTCCCTTATTATTCGTTCTCATCAGTAATTGAAAGGTTGAAGGTAAAAAAGCTATTGAACGCATAAAGTGCCTCATTATTTAGGTTTTCGGTTCTCCTCGAATTTCCCTGAGTTTCCTGTTTCACGCGAACTACATACCCCCCCCCCCCCCGCTCGTCGACATCGACATTATATAGTGCTAGTTAGTGCTATTAGAGAAGTGATGGTATAGTGTTAGGAGATGTAATGATAATGGCCCCTTATCCTTTCTTATCAATTGATAAGATTGTCTGTCACCCGTCATTAGTTTCCTATCACTAAAGCTCTATAATTTGGTAGTGTAAAGGCCCCAACACTTTGACTGAACAACAACGGCAACGCTCCTTATCAGCCCATATCAGCTGTTATCACCTCCTGTCACCCGTCGTCGATGTTCTCATCTCCCACTCTATATCATTTTCTGAAATCAACGCCTAGCTGATGCTGTGTCCCGCGTTATGAGTATGGTGACCTCCCCTTCTAACGCCTCTTATCGATCTTATCAGCTGATATCACTTCCTGTCACCCACCAATAGTGTTCCCGTCACACCGCCTACATCACTTCTTGAAATCAATGTCTCACTGCTACTGGGACCGGCGCTATGAATTTCGTGACACACAGACAGACGCACACACAAACATACACACACACACAGACAGACATACTTAGCGAGTTATATATAGTAGGTTGAGTACATATGTATATATTCAATGACAGCTGACATCCAACATAGCATCAACGGCTGAAGAACATGAAAGAAATTAGAAAAGATAAAAAGGAAAAAAAGACGAATTGGAGAGAAATAACTGATG